ATAAACCGGTTCCGGCGGGTAGCGGTTCCAAAAAAATGAGAACCGGAACCGGAACCGCTTAAGGCGGTCCAAAACTTAAGCAACCGGAACCGACGGTTTCAAGGCAGTTCCGGTTCCGAAAACGGGTACACTGTTCCGATGCTCACCCCTAACATTTAATATTTAGTTTTAAATGCCATTTTTTCTTTTTTTTCTTAGAAAATACTTGTCATCCTTTCCATTATTTTTTCATTATTCACATTTGAAACAAGTTAGCCGGTAAAAAATATGATCTGACATTTGGGTCTAATTAGTCAATTTTAGAAAGTTCATATGTGATATTCCACAATGTAAAGGGTGTTGTTATTCCCGATTTTCAAAAGTCAAAACGAATTTACTTATTTTTATCAAAGTCACAAATAAATCGGGTTATAAATAGTTTAAGTTACACATTACTTTCAATTTTAATCCTTTATATTTTTAGATATAAATAAATCCACCGTATTTAATAGATTTCACATATACAGTCCTTTATTTTATATATCACGTTATATTAAAAAAAAATATACTATTTAACATAAATAACTTTTATATACAACCCTTATTATAATTAATATATATATTATATTATATATTACAGAGACGGTCCACATCTTTAGAAAATTAAAGAATTAATCCGTACAACCGTACCTAATAGAAAATCTAAATATTACTCCCCCTTATATATTATATATTATAGAGACGATCACATTAGTTTTGTATATTTGCATATTTGCTCCGTAAACTTTCATAGTTAAACATACAAAACCTCACAGGAATGAGCATGAGACGGTTTGGGTCGGTTTTTGGCTAAAACCAAACCAAATCATAGAAAGTCGGTTTTTCGGTTTTTAAACCCATATAGGTTCGGTTTTTGCATGGTTCGGTTTTTCAGTTTTCCGAGTTGGGTTTATGGGTTTTCGGTTTTAAACCGTGGGCTTATGAGCTCCTGTTTTTTTTTTTTTTCTAGTTTTAGGTTCAAACCCAGTGAAAGTACATTGCGATAAATAGTATTATATCTACTTTAAATATACTAAAATAAATAGTACGGATTCTAGTATTCTAAAAGCATAAAAGTGTTCAAAAGATCAAAGTTTAACACCATTAAGATTTTGTTGAAAATAAACATAAAGTACTAAATGGATAAAGTCCAAAGTCTAAAACTAAAAGTTTAAACATAATAAATAATTAGATTATAACCCGCGTTAAACGCGGGGAACATAAATTAAATAATATCACATTAATAGGTGATATTGTCTTAGGTGGAATTTTAATAAAAAAATGTTAGTTAGATTTATTTTTAGAGCTTTGAATCAAATTTGTTAAATAAAAATATTAAATATTTATATTAGAGCAATTTGATTTTTTAATACAGTAATTTTTAACATAAATGATCCACATGATCTTTGTTTTATCACGACATGATGTGACTCCTTGATTAAAACATGTTGTGTAGTAACTTTATGAATTGACTCTGTTCGGTGTACCAACCCTCATGGAGGCTCATATGACTCTTTTCATATTGGCCCTGTAAAACCAAAAGCAACAATAAGTTGTTATATATACCAGCAACCTTAAATTCTGCAAAAAAAAATCGATAAACATTACAATTAAAGTGCATTGTCATAACCGTAAACATCAAATTCAGACAAGTAATTTGGTCAATTTCTAAAGTATTTTTTTCCTTATAAGAATTAAAATATGATTTTTCAGGCTACGCCCAATCACATATACATATCTTTCGATCAAAGAAATTATTACAAAAAAAACATGTTATGAACAAAAA